ATAATAATCTGTGGCTGAGACAATGAATCCTTCCATCCATCATCCTGGGCTTCTCTTATTCCAACCATGTGACTTAGTTGAATCAAGTTTATGGTATCTTGGCACGAGATTCTTACAGAAGCTAATATCTAGACTGAGTACATGTATAATTCATTTATTCCCCATAAAAGCAAAAAATGTTAATTTTAAGAATCTCCATTTCACTTAATTGAACCAGATCACAACAAAATATTTCAAAATGCTTAGGAGATCATTCTCAAAAAGTTCAGCCTTTATATCACTGTTGAAACTGTGTTTATTCTCAAGAAGACATCAAGTTTTTAAAAAATTGCATGCTGATCCTAAATAAGAGAAATCTCACTTTAAGAGCACAAGCTCAAAATCTAATTGAAATCCTTGGTACAAGCTGCAGCTCCTCTCCCCACACGCTGAACAGGCTTGGCACAGCGTCCAGGCATGGCCGGCTCTCTGCTGGGGGCAGCGTTCTCGGCTGTGAAGGCAGAGCGTGCCCTCTGTCACTCATGGCGAGCAGTCCTGTCCAACTGTCTCTTTTCAACAACTTTATCATCAATCTCTTTATTAACAGCCCCGCTGCAGACTGAGAATGCAAACAAGGACAGCGCGCATGCCAGATTTCTGGAAGCACACGGCACGAGACACCGCTCAGGGCACGGAGCGAGGGATTCTGGAGCAGAAGACGTAGCACAACTCTTCCACGTTCTTTCAAGAAGTATCATATTTATTATGTTTACTTAGAAATTTGATTCTATTTGGGGAGAGATGGGGAGACAGAGAAGTTGTTTCTCAAACATCAAGGATTGCCCACCTTGCCTCCAGTTTTGTCCTTATGCCATTTGAAGCACCCGATCAACAAAGGGTACTTGACCAAAGATTCCATTCAACTTCAATAATTCTGGTTTAGGTCAGTGAAGCACTGAAGCAAGTGCCAAAGAAATAACCTCAGACAAACTGATGAGTTTCACAGATGTGTAGACTTTAGGCATGCAAAAATTTACTTAAGTAACCTTATTCATAGATAGGAGAGCAAAAAGGGCATTTGCACTTGTAAGCTGCCCAGTGTCTGTGTGGGCCACAGTCATCATGGGGCAGTCTAAATGCATTGGCTAGTTTCTTAAATAAATAAATGCAGCTTTTCTTACCTAATAAGCCAGGGCTTTTATCACCTTGTATCAACAATAATTTTCCTCTTTATCCCTTCCTATTACTTTCATGGATTCTAGCTCTTTAGAGACAGTAACTTAATACAAAACCAAAGCTTAATACTATCTACATATACCACAAAATATTTTTTCCCAACCATTACTATACCCTTAAATTTGACTTTAATATAGTGTGCAGGAAATTTGTCATTATTTTATTTTACACATTGCACTAGAATAGAGACTGTAAAAATATTGAGGTAATTAAGATATACAAACCTGCTGATAGGACCTGTGATCTGGTTAATTCAATAATATAATTCATAATTAAGTGTGAAAGGCAGAAAAAAACTGCCTAAAGACAGCATTCCAGAATTTAGTTAGCACAACAAAAGTATACCTAAACCTTATTTTAAAAAAATCCTTAGTTTAAATATCCAAAACACAGATGGAATATCCAGCAGTGGTTTGCCATATTATCTTTTTCATAAAACGTGTCCTCTGAAGTTTCATATTAGTTTGCATTCTTTTGGTGGCAGTATTAGCTGATGTTTGTAGATATTTCAAATTACTATTTTGCACTTTGTAGGTGTATCAATCTGCATCTGCCTCTACCAACAAAACCAAGATGGTTTGTTTCTACTGAACAGACACTTAATACTACTATGACTATTAAACTAGAATCAGTTTAATGATTTCTATGAATTACTGGTATTTTTCCAATATTAACACTGGATCTGTAAAAAAGCAAACCCACTAAGTATTCATAAGTGTATATATAATATATATGCATTCAGACATTTCTGACTGTACCATCAAGACCTGCATAATAACTGATGAAATCTGGTAAGTATTGTTCAGCCACAATGATGGCAGAGAGATTAATCATAGCAAAGGTACTTGACTAGTGTGTTCATCAACTTACATAAATGATGCCAGCACCACCACAACATGCAAAATATCTTTTGTACAAATGCACACAGCATCCAAATAATATCTATTATGAGGATAAACATACTCTGCTTCCTCAGTAACTATCACAGTAGTTTTTTGTGCATTTAAGTATAGGTTCTGGCTCAGAACCAGTATCGTATGTTCTTGCTATGATGAATTACTTTTAGTTATCCTAGATGCTGAAGAACTGTTTCATCTTTCAGTGTTGATAAAATTAATTCCCCCATTAAGATACATTTACTAACAATTTAAATTCATTACTACTCAGTAACCATATACTTGTAGCAACAAGTTTAAAAAATTTGCAGTTTAAGAAAAACCCAAAACAAAGACGCCACCCCACAAAACTAAGAAATGCACTAAGGAGTGCATTTAATAAGAAGTGGCATGCACACATACTACCTACAAGGAAGCACAACTTTAGCTAGAACTCATCAACTCAAATGTCTGATTCCAATCAGTATGTCTAAAGCCATCTGTTACACCATGGCTTATTAATGTTAATTATTTTGGCTACAACAGTAATTTTCAGCTTCTTGTTTGCAGATCCTTATGAGTCAGTGAACTTAATTCAGGAGGTTGCTGATGGGCAACTTAGAAAAACAAGCTATTGAAACCTATTGGCAGTAGCCTGAGAAACAATGAAGAGAAATTTGTGTATCTACTAGCAGATCTTTACTGGTCAGAAAAAATAAAAGACAAATTAAAGCCAAAAGTAACATCATCAGCTGTGATGAAAGGGAGATGTGGTGGGCAGGATACAAAAATTATGAATCTGTTTTAAACAAGACAATCAATTGCATGCTGTGAAAAATATATACAATAGAAAGGCTTATTGTTTTAGGCAGGGCAATTATAATATGAAGACCACAATCATCAGTGGTTTTAGCAGTTAAAGAAATTTTAGTCAAAAGGAGACTACTTATTTAAGTTACTCACATCAAGCATTTGGAGGATTGGGCTCATGCTGATACAAAGATCAATCAAGTGATGCACAGATACTTGCAACTTTTATTTCAGGGCACGCTTAAACTACTTAACAAGAAGAGAAATAGTGCCATCTGCTGACATAAGGAATAGGCACTTGCAAGAAAAGCCTGAGATGCCAAAACTCCTGCAACCAATGTTTTTAAAAAATGAAGTTCAAACTTTTGCAGAACAGTGTACCCCCAAACTGTCTAGGCACATGATTCTTCTAGTTTTGTCCACTTTGAAGAATTTAGGATGGAGGAATGGAAGGGATGGCCTTAAAATGCTTTGTGTGTTTTTGGCAACCCTGTCCCCGTCAAAACACTGCGCAATTCACAAGCTTTCCCTTTAATAGCCAGAACCCAGCATCCTTCTGAGTGTCACTTCCACTTCCTATAGGAAACATAAATGAATGCTCTCTAAATAAGCATTATGTACTATATTTCCTTTAGGACATACTGTATTTTGCCTTAGCAGAAAATTTAAGAGCTAAGTAAGAATTAAGAAAGTAAAACCAGTTTAGTACATTCAGAAAAAGCAGACAACCATGGGATTGTGCTGTTTTTTATTGTGTTTTCAATGGAGAAATACATCATCTGTTTACAAAATAGCTCTTGAAAAATACAAGGAGTACAGATACTATAAAACAAAGCAAACTCCAGTCATGAGACACTACGTACATCATGCGAAAGCAACAGTCTGATCTCCAGGTTATGAAAACTAGAATTAAAAAGTCACTATACAGAAAGGTTCCAAGTTTCCAGCTTGGCAAAACTTGGGTGCAGTTACATGAAACGTTTAATAAAATGAAAAAAGATTTTCCGATGTGTAAACAAAATGACGAGACTAAATTTGTGCCTGGCAATTTCGATCTAAACTCCATAGCTACACAAAATACACAGACAGCTTGTACACTTCAACTGTTAAGATATAACCTTCTTTGGGGGGTGGACGACAGCAGGCTGCACAGGGCAAGGAAAAGAGAAATATTGTATACTAGACATCTTAGACAAATGGCAAAAAAAAAAAAACCCTTCAGTTACTGCACAGCCTAAGTAAAAGATAAGCTACACTCTGACTTTGGAGAATTAATTTAGAAGGGTAAGGGGAAGAGTGTAAGTAATTTAACTTGTAACATGAAAGATGCATGTGTAATAGGATGGAGCACAATGGGAGAAGGGAGATCATAAAACATGCTAATCAAAGTATGGGAAGTATGATTTGACATCCCACGTATTTCAGACTTAAGTAATAGTAACATGAAGTTTGTTATCTACACCTGGTATTACTGTTGGTATCCCTCATGTTCCTCAAATACTGCTGTTCTTTGCCATGAGAGCTTCAGTTCTTTCAAAAGAAAAAGTTCTTACTTTTTTGATAGGACTACAAGAACAAAAAAATAGGAGTAAGAGAGCTTACTAGATGTCAAGTGCTTACTAGAAATATGATTTTTAAAAATTTGGTGTTGTTCAGTATGTAAAACTACTTGTGATGAACTATCTAAAAATAAAAAGGTTAAAATTCTTAGGGAAAAATCTTTTTGCCTTTATTTAAAATTTTAAGCTTTTTAATGCATATGGGACCTTTATGGAGTGTACAAAAATCATATTTAGTGATTCAAAGGCCATCAAGACAGGTGGTGTATTTCACAGGCACACAATATTTACCTAAACACTTTAGTCATGGGACAATTTTAATTTGTGCCTAGAGGCCACAAGGTATTGCAACTAGGTAAGGGGCAGGGGGGAACCCAAATGAGTACATGGCTTGTTTTTATTTTGTATAAATAACTATTGTTCTCTGTGGTGCATACAAGCTGAAAAAAAATAATTAAAAAAAAAACAAAAGAAAACCCCCAACATTAAATGCAAAAGCTTTCCCCAAGAAATAAAGGGATAAAAAAAAGGGAATAAGGAGTTCAATTAGCTCAAAAGAAAGTTTATTTACTGTTTGATTGCTGATTTGTATGCACCTTAAAACAATCCTATAAATAAAAGTAGACCACATCTTAATCATGTCCCACCAATACCAAAACTTCCCAATTACTTTCTCAACTTAACGTCTTATGACCCCAAGATTTGACAATACATTTTAAAGACTTACTGCTGCTTGATGGCAGTTGAACTAAATATATACTATACACTTTGTTTTCAATGTATAGTATATCACAAAATGTCATCCAATTTGCAAATTACTACTATTGAAGAGACTCTTCAATAAAATGAATTTCATCAGCTAAAGAGCTAAAATTAGTCATACTCCAATAAAAAAGTACATAAAAGTGCATTTAAGGGATTCTTATGCCAGTTTTATCTCAATTTTGAAACAATGCATCAAACAAATTCAATCAGAATGTCAAATATGGCTACAAATAGTGTTCATGTTTTTAAAGGCAGTAATCCTTCGAAATATTTAATGTAACTGTTGCTAACACATTAATTGTACTCCTGGCTTCACATACTAACCTGGACTTCCAATCAAGCGGCGACTTTAGTCCAGAAAGGGAAGTGCACAACATATACCTAAATCCATTTGCGATTATGTTCTAGTCTTGCACCCTCCGTTCTCCTTTTTTTTCTAGCATTAGAAGACAACAGGTTGAGTTGGCAGATACTGTTTATGGACCCCTGAGGTGGTTTTTACCGGTTCAATCTCAATTTTATTGAATTCTTGATAACAGGAATAGGATTTGCAGGAAGAGCAGGGATATCTGAAAGGTCTGTACTGGGTGTTTTCTGAAAAGAAAAGAAGTTTGGTTGTATTTTAACTCCGCAAGTATAAAAACAAAAATATTGTAGTAATTTGCATTAACTTTCCAAAAAAAAGATATTTAGAAGACCTTTTAGGAATATATGAAAATAATTACAGATTATAAAGAGAGAAGCAGGTATTTCCTTTGCCTACACAGTCTTTACAAAAAAAAATTCTACAAGGATCTTAGTGTGCATTTCCTTTTTTGATAACTGCAAAAAATTAGGAAGTGCTGCAGATAAAGTTGGGCCTACTAATAACCTGTATTATAGTAAAATATCCACATAATAAGGGTGCTTGATCAGTCACATCTACTATCTGAGCTACATGTTTAGTATTTAAAAATGCCTCTTAACAATTCAGTGTTAAGTCTCTGCCCTTACAGATGAGTAATGAAAAACAGCTCCCAATCCCAAGTGTCTGTGTTTGTACACTCACATTCCAAACTGTTGAAAAACCCTACCATCAAATTTCCAATTTTTCATATTGGTTCAGATTTACATGAAAAAAGTATAACGAACTCTAAAAAGGTACTGTATGAATGTGTTAAGAATTCCACCTTGATAAAAATCTGAACACTTTTTTCTCACTTAAAAGACTTAAATAGCATTCAGCAAAATTATAGCTAAAACAAAAGGAAAATGCAGAAAAGAAACACTCTCAAGATTCAGTGAGATTCATTAATTTCTCACTTACTACATGCCTCTATGGCTGGTTTATTTTTTTAAGTATTTTCACTTCCACTGTGGCACATTATTTGGGCCATCCCAATGACCCAGTTATTATACAATACTTCACATCATTTACCATAAAATGTTTTCTTACATTATAAACATTCAAAACTTATATAAGGTACATTTGATACATGGGGGAAAATGCATTAAAATTAAAATTACTGTTCTTAATTGCTGCTTTATTAAAAATAAATCAATCAAGGTAACACTGACTGACAGTAGCAAAGCACAAAGTAGCAAGGACCCAAGGCAAAATAGTTCCAAACCTTGCATCACCCCTGCCCCTGGTTGGTGCTGATCTGCAGTTTGATGTGTTGCTATTTTCTGCAACATGGGTAGTGTTTTAAACAAAGCCAACAAGAACACTGAAAAATGACAGAGGAGGCTCACCATCCTTTGTAGTTTCCAGATTACTTTTGCTAAAGTTAACAATCACACAATCTGTAAAAAAACTACAAAGTTTTATATAATCCCCAACACCAATAGACAAAATAAAACTGGTGTACTTACTAAATGATCTAAAAACTTCCCTAAAGCAGTTTAGGAAGTCCATATAGCATCTACAGTTTTTGCCAAACAATTTTGCTATCTTTATTCAGTACTGCTCATACAGTTCAAAATGTCCAGTAAGAAATACCATTATTACTATTGCAACAATCTTCACTTTCAACCAACACATTCACTACACATACTTTAACGATTCAAGCATGCATAAAGTGCTTGATAGCGATACTTGAATCAGGAGAGTATTAAGAGAAGTTTAAAAATGGTAGTAAGAAACAGATGGGCTTTCTAGAAGTTGTTACAATACTAGAAACAAAAATTTAAGTCAGTAGTACAGAATTCTTGCTGTTTTCCAAAGGACTTTACACTGCTAATACCAGCTGGCTAAGGAGTGACAAGGTTACAACTTGTCTCTCTTACCACATACTAGCATCGTAAGTTACATTTCAGTTATCCTCAACCTCTACCTAGGTATCTTCGAGCAGCAGCTATTTAAAGCATTTGTTTCCTTGTTAGAAAGGATTATTCTGTGATGTGCAAAGCACAAAGGAATAAACTGAGCCCCTTACTTTGAAGGCACAATTCAGCAGAGCGAATCCAGCTTCAGTCAGTTTGTATGGCAAGCCATACATGTTTAGCTACAATGCACATTCATTAAGATCAATGACCATCTAAAACACAAAAATTGTGACAGTAACAACAAGTAGCTTTCCATACAATGAATTTATATTTAAAATTATACATTTATTTTTAACATCTGGACTCATTTCAGTTTCAATTCTTTCACCACAGATTAGCACACAAACATATTACATGGCAGTATTGATATTAAAAACAGTACCTGAGGAGCTTGCAGAGAAGCTGTCTGAAGAGTTTCTGTTTGAGAATTAACATTCATTTCTGTCTCTATTTGCTCCTGAAAAAAATCCAAAAACATCACCACAGTTACACCACTTCCAATGAGCTACTTATATAGAACACCTAGAACTCCAAATTGTTTTACATTGTGCATATACAGCAAAAGGAAAATACAAGCATCAGTGCTTGCTACATTGACACCTTTCCTTTTATGATGCAGGAATCACCACACTGGAGAACGTTTCACTTATTAGGGATTTTACATCAACACAAGCTATATCACTCATCAGTTGTCACTTGTATAACCAACTAACACCTTTTATATAGAATCCTATAGCAAAATATTACATGCCATACAACTCACTGAAGACAAAAAGTGTATTCTCAAGGAAAATAATTTTAAAAGCTACAGAATTTGTTTAAAAATTCAGCAGCTTTTCCACAGCTTTTGCCAATCTGCCCGGAAAGTTTTCCTGCTGCTTTAATGGGTTGAATCAGCTTTCTAAATGAACAGGTGAGTGTCAGAGATTGATTTTTCAGGTACAACAGTGGGACTACAAGCCTAAAGCAGGACAATGGCACATTCTGATTTTAATAAAACCAGTCTGCTAGTTCAAAGTGTACAATTTAGTAAACATACCCTAAAAAACACAATGCATTTTAATGGATGAAAACCTATGTTTACATTAAGAAATTTAATTCCAGCATTTCTTTCAATAAATATTAAGGACAGAGACTTAGAGGAGACTGCCAATAAAAACTAACAGGATTACCTATGTCTTTTATAACGATCTGTATCCAGTGGATCTATTTTTGAAGTGAGGATTAAGTGCTTACATGTATTTCTGCCCTCACCTATTTTAAGTTCAGAGACATTGCAAGGTGACTACCTAACAAGATACAACTCCTTGCTTAAGGGTGTTGGAGCTATAAACCAAAGAACTTACTTTGAGCATAAGCATAATTTCAAGAGTATTCCAGAGACAACAGAATGTGCCCCATTAAACCTGCAAAATCCCAACTGGAGAGCTGCTATCGTAAAGCTTGAAAGAAAGCAGAAAAATTGTCTGCTAATTACAAGATACTGGAGGGGCACATTGAATCTCCAAAGTCCCCGAACAATATGCTGTAGCCTCACACAATAATTTCACTGCCAGAGAAGATTTACTTACTATCACTTGAAATTTCTTTATCTAAAAAGTGAACAACGTGGCTGGATTTAGGATTCTGAACCCAATGTGCAAACTCCAAATAGAACACATAGGACAATTGTTCTTTCACTAATTAACATACATCAGGTTTGGAATGCAGGAAAAACATGGCATATTGACATATCATTGATCTAAAGTAACAAACCAAAATAAAAATATCATGACTAATTTTTTCGCCATGCATAATACCATGTGAATGACTAGCAAAGAAATGACAATCCTATGTGGCTAGGGATTCGGGCTCAACTTAGCATGGCAGCAGGCAATGGACTCCATCAATACAGACATAAACATCAAAAAAAAAAAAAAAGATTTCATTTTGATATCTTTCCTGGAGAGTCTGTATCTAGACACACTCTTAGTGATTCCTAGACAGAAACACAGTAATTTTCCCAATCAATATACACAAAATGATACAGTGCAGGAATAGATACCTTAGTTTCCATTTTTTCATGTTCATTCAAATCTATACAGCTAGTATCTTCACTTATGTCATCCTGCTGAAAAGCAAATACAATAACTATCACAAATCATAAAATTGTATTTTTAAAAAATCAACAAGAAAATAAGGCCAAAGTGTTTAAAAGGACAGAATTAGTTGTAAGACGTAGCATATTATAGGCTTACCAAAATAATTACTTTTAAGGTAAGAATTTAGCTTCTGAGCATTTATGCTAATGCAGTATGTGTCATGTGATGAGTATCAACAAAATAAAAATACTAACACCGTGGCAAGCTGAAAACATCAAGCAGCACTGCAAACAGAATAGGAAATATCTGAAACTTGGAATATGAGAATCAGCACTCTGTGCAAAATGAATAGTCAATGTTTTGAACACTGCTATGGTACGATCTCAAAATCTCAAATACCTCTTCAATTTTAATTTTCTTAGGAGACTCTTCTTTATGGGGAGAAGATGTCCTTTTCACTGCTGCGACAGGGCTAGGCATTTTTGTTGCAACATTTCCTGAACTTCTTGGTGATGGATTTAATAGATACGCTGAGGGAACAATTCTAGAGATGGTAGGCTTTGGTGGTGGAGAAATGGCTGGCTGTGTGGCAGTTTGAGGAATGCTTTCATTTGAAGTACCTATGGACAAATAATTTAAAGATCTTCAACAAGAGAAGTCGACACAATCATTTCAGTTCAATCACTGGTATTTTTGGTCTCTAATCAAAACCCCTGACATCAAGCAGGCATCAAGGAAGTGGTACAGTTAATGGTGTAAGCATCATGTACGGAACAGCAAGTGGGCATACATTACACAGTTTAGTTTCAAGCTCATTCTTGAGCTTGAGTGCACCCTCAGCAAGTTCACTGATGGCACCAGGCTGTGTGGTGCAGCTGACACACTGGAGGGACAGGATGCCATCCAAAGGGACCTGGACAGGCTGGACAGGTGGGTGAATGCAAACCTCTTGAAGTTCAATAGAGTGAGTGCGAGGTCCTGTGGCTGGGTTGTGGCAATCCCAGGCACACCCACAGGTGGGGCAGAGAAGTGACTGAGAGCAGCCCTGAGGAGAAAGACTTGGGGCCAGTGGTTGATGAAAAACTCAACATGAGCAGGCAAATGTGCTCACGGCCCAGAAAGCCAAACGTGTCCTGGGTTGCAGCCCAAGGAGTGTGGGCAGCAGGTGAAGGATTTTTCCCCTCTATCCTGCTCATGTGAGACCCCACCCGGAGTGCTGTGTACAGTTCTGGTGTCCCCAATATAAGGGCACGGAACTGTTGAAGCAAGTCCAGAGGAGGCCATGATGTTGACAAGAGGACTGGAGCACCTCCCCTACAAAGATGGGCTGAGAAAGCTGGGGCTGGTCAGCCGGGAGAAGAGAAGGTTGCACAGAGAGCTCACAGCAACCTTCCAGTACCAGAAGGGGGCCTACAGGGAAGCCAAAGAGGGCTTCTTTGTCAGGAACTGAAGTGGTAGGACAAAGAGCAATGGAGACAAACTGAAAGAGGTGTTAGGAAGAAATTATTTAGTGCGAGGCAGTGAGACACTGGAACTGGTTGTCCAGGGAGTTTTTGGATGCCCTGAACCTGGCAGTATTCAAAGCAAGGTCAGTTAAGGCCATGAACAAACTGGTCTAGCGGGAAGTGTCCCTGCCCATGACAGGAGGGGTTGGGTTAGATGATCTTTTAGGTCCATTCCAAGCCCTTAACACATAACCCTGAGAAAGAATTCCTGTAAAAGACACAGGGTAGCCATGGCAATGACTCTCTGCTTAGCCTAATTAACCCTGCTCAAGGCAGGCTATAGGAGCCCAGACAGAGCTCTGCATAAAACAGTTGTAGTATTTGTGGTACGTGAAGAAATTCTACTGCTTCTGTACTCAGCCATATATATGCATTGCCAAGACTGCATTAAATAAAATCCAAGAGCAATATGATACTCCCTTTTCCACTCAAAAATGAAGTTTATCCCTTCTCAGGCTTAGATTACCCAGTGACAAACATGAAGTCATCACAGAGCATCAAATAAAGAATTGATATTATATACATCCTTTTGAAAAATGCTCCATATGACAAAGCTCTATCTCATCAATTGCCTACCTCAAACCAATAAGCGCACATAGGGAGATGCTCCAGGATGAGAAAAAATACATTGAGGAAATTTTTCATTAACAACTATCAGGTGATTAACATTTTGATTAACCAAAATATAAGAATGAACAACTTCTGATATGCTTCCAAATCCAAAAACCAGTCACGCCATTTAAGCTCCACTTAGTGCTCATGGACAAACTTACTCACATTGATGCACCTGTGACACGATAAAAATCAGAGAGAAGTAAGACTAAACCATGCCACACATCAAGAGTGAAATGAGAGATTTCATTTTGAAAGGCTAACCAGTCGCTCCCCTTTTCCATCTATTTCTGACTTGCTCCTTGTACACCACTAAAGCTCCATTAAAAAAGAAGAGTAGCTGATTCTAACAGAGTATTTTCACCAGATGCTTTTATTCTTTGACTAAAGAGTCAAATTTTTAAATTATTTTTAAGTAAAGTGTAGTTTTTCTTGCAGAAAATAGAGGATAAAGTCAGCACATACAGCGGGACATATCTGAACAGACATCAGTAAGGAACACGTGTTTCTGCTTACATCTGAGTCTTTTGCATTCCTAGAATCAATTTCATGAAGCACAAGGAGCAGGAACATGGGAGCACAGACTACATATAGACAGTACAGAACCACCTTCAGTTTAACTACAAAATCAATTAAAAGTAAACACGAAAATTGTTCTTCCAGCTTTAGATAATTTTTTCCTCATTTAGCTAACCAAACTGCAGACCTACATTAGGTCACTGGAACACTACTGTTATTGTGAATGGCAAATATAAATCTCTAAGAATAAAAGAAGCAAACATCACAGCAAATAGTCCTCTGTGATGTTCTGAATCCTTAAGAAATTACTGAACTGTGTGTAAGATGGAGAACACATTGCAGCATGTGTTAAGTAAAGACTAGAAAACTCAAGCTGGAAGAAAAACTGCCTTAAAAACATTACCAAAAATTCAATAGAAACAATATGCTATGCCTTTTTCCTTACCCCCTGAGCTTTCACTGGAATTTATTTGTGGCACAGTGACTTCAGAAGCCTGTGTGTTGGTCACAGATGCTGCTGTTACAGCTGGCGCAGGACTGCTTCTGCTAAAAAGAGAAAAATTATGAAATGCTGAAGACATTAGTAAAGCTATGGTGTTACATGATCTGCCTTTCATCATATCATATGTGTGACCATAGCTGGTATTTTACCTACATTACAGAGTAGAGCTTATGCCAGTAAAAAGGTAAACATGAGATTGTCAATCTACTATCAAACTCAAGCAAGGGAAGCTATTTAAAATATTTCATTTAAATCACTCAATGACAGTTTTTGAGACCAGAAAAATGATGTATTTAAAAGACTGGAAAAAATTAATGCAGTGTCCACCCAAATAATGTGCATGGGAAGACAGCAACTATTTACTGAAGGATGAAACAAAACCAGTGTGGAAGGACTAGAACAAAATGTTTGTTTTTAACTAACACACTGTTACAATGACGATTTGAGTCTAAAATCATCCCAAACAAAGGCCCGGGGCTTCAAGTGACCAACCACAAAAACAATTCTTTTTCCATCTTCAAGAAATTGGGAAGCAGTGTATGTCTAAAATCAGCCAAGGGTGATTTCCACTTCACCTGTGACATCCTAGGTAATACAGACTTATTTCAATAGCACAGATAGTGGTATCAACTACTGTTAACCATTTACCAAGGAAGACTAACTAAAAGAACACTTGTCAAAGGAACTAAGTATTTCATCCTACACAACATCCTATAATATATGTGTAATAGTGCTAAACTGTAGGAGATTGATATACATAGAAGTTATCATCAAACATGAGACTCTTGAAAGGGAAGAGTACCCTGATTTATTGGGGCAAACTGGAGTTAAGGTAGGAAAGAATTAATACAGAAAGTTAGTATTAAGAAAATGTTAATATGTACACTTTGAAGCTACAGCGGGAAATTATGTTCCTATACTTAACTTGCATAGGTACCATCAGTAACAGCAGTAAACTACTCATTTCCCAGACAAAAAATCTAAACCTCTCTAGTGTCTCACACTTGGATCCAAAACCCACAAAATACTTCTTCATCCTCAAAACTACTGCTCACTACTTCTCAGCCTCCTACTGCAGGGCCCAAGCTTTTCTATCATGTTTTTCTATGCATTTTTACCCAACTTTATAATTCCTCATTTCAAGTCTAATGCCATGCTCCCTTTATCCCTCAAATTTTATTCTAGTGCTCAAACTGAAATAAGAGTGTTTACAATCTCCATCCAATTTGGAACGTTCCAAACTTGGTAGAGGTAGTATTGCACGTGTGCAGATTCTGTCATGTGTTTAACCCAAGTAATTCAGGAAGAGAGAGCAGCAACAAGACTGAAAGTCTTCATTACCCCTGAGAACTTCCGGAACTGTTCAACGGACTTGTCTTCATAGCACTGGTAGGTGAAGGCACAGATGTGCTGTTATCACTGTCCATAGACAAGTCTAGGCTGCTGTCATTCAGAGCTGTCAACCTGATCCCTTCTGTCGAGTGCTGCAAGTCACAAGGCAAAGGAAAATTCTGTTAGTCTAATTAAAGGTTTAAAAATAAAAAAATTCAAGTTATTTCGAAATACAAACTTAAATGGACAATTTTCAAATCCTTTTACATGTAAATAATCCACTATCCTCTCACTACACGCATTTACATTTTCATGTTTGCAACTCTGGTACAGATTTGTCTGAACCAATTATGTTTAAAAACAAATTGCTATTGTATTTGATGATTATATTTTCAGCTTTATTTCAAATTTCTTCAGTTTTGTGGACTTAGAAATACTTTCATTAACTTTAAAGTAAATTATATACATCAAAACAAACTGATGTACATAAAAAGAATTTAAAGAGGACTTGAACTTAGCCTGTGGAGAAGAAAAACCCTTTTCTGACATGGTACTACTAAAAGGGATATATTACTTAATATTTACATTGTTCTCTAGATCTACACTTGGTGTCAATAAAATCTTCCTAAACCTTAAAACAGCATTCAATATAAAACAGCTATAGAAATAAATCATGTTATACAGCTATACTGAAAAGAGAATATATAGCAGTGGTTTAGCTATTAAAAAATCCAAGCAAACCTGCATTGCTCTCAGATTAACCTAATACAAATCTGCAGGGATTTTGAATCAGACTGAATTGTTCAATCCAAAATTCCACCCCTTCTTCCTGAGTCCACTGAAATTAAACAATAATCCAATGCAGTATCTTAATTAAAAACTAATGCTACCATTCTCATATATGGCCACAGATAAACTATCCAGCCAGACAAGATATTATCCACATTGTTGATATTCGGAGAAATGTAGTATTCTATTTAGTGCACCTAATAATACTGCTACACTCAAATGTGATCATTTGCAGGTAAAATTAAGATCTTAAAATGTGATTTTAATTCTTTGATTAGTAAACCTAAAAATCTAAGTAAACCTAAATTAGTAAACCAAAAAAATCAAAAATTTGAGAGCAATGGCATTTTCATTGCTCTCAAATATTAGTGAAGTTTACCTTTTTCTTTTTCTGAAGCACGTGATTAGGTAGCAGTTGGTGAAGTTGCTTACGTTTCACATGCCTTGCAGCAATCTTCATATCCATCTCAAACATCTTGCTGTTTATTGCTTGCCTATAAACTACACAATTAGAACAACATTAAGACATATTGAAATATTTTGCAAAGCCCACTTACTTGCCCAGGCAGAAACAATTTGCATTTCAGAGCACTTATTACCCTCAAGAACAAGAATAAAGTTTTCTTGTTCTGGAGGAAGAAAAGGAACTGCCTACCATGCCAGCACTGATAGTACAAACAAAGACATTAGTTTGGAAACAGGTGACCTGTTTTTCAAGAAAAATGTCTTGCAAGTACACGGTTCTCTGTATTTTTAACAAGTTTTAACTTGAAGAGCTCTGAAGCAAATTCATTTCATCTCAAGGGGACTAAAGACAGAAATAATATTTCCTCATATAGCACTTACTTAAAATTATTTTCCTTACAGGTGGTTTTGTTTATGCAGCTCCTGCAACAAATGGCTTTTAATTCAGGAGTTAAGTGCTCATGTGCCACCTTATGTATTAAAACTACCCTGGCAACTCACAAACCACTATATTTTTATACAAAAATAATTTATGTTTGTATTTTTGCTGCTTCGTTGGGCTTTTTTGTTGCTTTTTTTTAATTTTGTACGGTCATTTTGGTGGTTTTGCTTCTTTTTATTTTGTCTAGTGTAACGAGTTATTTCTCTTCACCTCAGAACATCTGCTTCTGGTAAGTTATCATGGTAAGCGCTGGTACAAGAATTGCGCTAGAACACAGGATGCGGGGTTGATGTAAAGCCAGGTAAAAATCCAAAGCTTGTTCTTTCACACTGACTGTCTCCACAACATTGAACAAAAGCTGGGGCAGATGTATGAATAAAAAATGGTTCTGCAGCTCTTAAATACAAAAACTCAAGAAGTATCTCCCTTGTTCACTGTCTACCTTACAAACATTAAGGAATTGCACTGAATAGGCTGTGAACAGGTAATTTAAAAGGTGTCAAGACAGAGGCACACAGTTCAATGAATACTGAGTATTAAAGCGAGTACTGCACTATTTCTTGTTATTTATGAAGCTCATAAAGCCTCTCAATAAAAAAATTATACAGGTTACAGCTAAGGTAGAAGCATGCTCAATGAAACCAAACATGGTTAAAGCATTCCACGTTCCTGACATTAGGTCTTATCAAAGTTTCCATACAAGGAAAACCCAGATCACTCTTCATGTCTCTCTTCCTCCTCCACTAAAAAGCAACCTATTCTTTAATCTCATCCTGGAAAATAGTTAGTTACTTTTGATAAAATCTTAGGATCTATTCTAAAAGACAGGGCAAAGAAGTCTTTAGGATGGATTAAAAACAATGAAGACCCACACTAATTTCAGATTAACAAACCCCCCCCCCCCCCCCC